CCCATCGTCCAGGGATTGATCATAGCTAGGAGCTGGGTTTTGTACTATAATATGCACTAAAAAATCGATTGTAGATAAGTGTGAGCTATCGCCGATAAAAGTTTATTAATACTAAGCAAAAGAAAATGATTTCAGAAGCAGAATTCGCTACAATCCCATCATTTCTCCAGAAGCATAAGCCAGCTCAGGTAATTTCATTTTTACCTCAATATTAATCACATTCCGTTAGAAAATAATCAAAGCTTAAATCGCAGCATAAAGTGAGAGCTTATTAGAGAAAACTCAGATGGGTTGTTGAATTAGCTGGAGGAAGTAATCCGCAGCGAGAGACTCGTTAATAAATTTGTTATAAAAAAGCTTAATATCAATTAAAGAGAAGCTAATAGAAATACATAGATTTGACAATAGAGGTGAATGTCGAAAAAATGGAAATTTTCTAAACGGACAGTTCTCCACAGCAAACATTCTACATGAAATTTATCTCTTTTAAAGTAGGAAAACCTTGATTAGTCTGGATTTATCCTAACTTGTAGTCTAAGTGGAATTCTCTTGACTATTTCACTCACATGGTAACAGTTACTCTATTCTAGGATTAAATCCGGCCATGAGCTGAAAAAACTCACAATGTTGTTCAGGAAAAGGTAAATTTGCATGTAAAAGGTAAACTGTAAGAAATTTTCCCTTTATATTATTTTCCTCCGTCAGAAGAGTTACATTTTATAACGAGAAAAAACTTTTGCAAAAAAAGAGAAAAAAACGCCAAATCCAGAATAGCGGTAATAAATGTCAGTAGTAGAAGATCTTTCACTGTGATTTTCAAATGTGCATGCCCAAATGATTTGTGGTAGCAAGTCAGATTAGAACTAGTACCGAGACAGCGTAAGATTTCGCGACTATGACTTCCTGCTTTCACTTTTGATAGGCAAATACATATTCAGCACCATTCATCATTATGACTTACAAATGCAAATGGAGATCCACATATGCTAATTCATTTTCATAATCCCCGTTTCAAACGTCAAAACACTTGCTAAAGAGAAGTGCTCGTGGAGTATCTGTTTGAAGTTCGAGTTGAGACTGAAACATGGAAAACGGCACGCCAAAATTTTTTGGCACACCAAAATTCCGGTAAAATTAAAAAAAAACTCTGTGGAATTTCATCTTGAATACCAAAAGCGCACCGCTAGACTACTGCGACCATGCGAGCGCCAACGTGTTCAATAAAACGACTGGAGGGACTATCGTAACCACTTGTAAAATTACTTGTTAAAAGGTAATTTGCATTTTATCTGCGAAGTCTATTATAATGTGCACATTAGATGCATGTATGAGACTCAGCCGACTCAGCAAGCAGACTTTCGAAAGGATTTTCGTTGCAGAAACCGCAACTAAGTCTCGTCAAGTGTCATAGATCTTCAACTGAAACATAGCTCTTGTGTTGAACTTTGTTGACTGTAAAGAACGATGAGAGAGCCGAAACGAGCAAATCCAATGCATGCCTCGATCATGTATGTAGTCCTTTGTACCAGAATGAGCTAAGAGACGCTAGTGTATCATTTGTCGGTACACAAGTGTTTGCCTTCATCTAGGATGTGGTTCGATAGGCCAATCACAGCGCAGTCTGGTGCACGCTCGGTATGAGGGTTGGGTCTGCAGCTGCGTAAAACATTGTCTTGTAATTGTATCTTTTTTTTGCATATTTCGAACAGCTTCATTCCGTATTAGTCCTTTTTGTCGAGACTGCGCTACCAAAATGAAATCCGTCCTTGAATGGCCTATTGACTAGTCGATATGTACATCCCTTCAAGTCTATATACGTCCTTGCAAATCCTATTGAAAAAAGCTGATTTGTATCCAAAGCTAGGCTGATTTGTGGTGTAAACTGCTGTTGTTCGGTATTGATTTCCATAAACTTCTATAAGATTCCATAGATTGAATAACTAGTGAGCAAGAAGCTTGCGCATCTGTATTATGCATACTATGGGTCAGAAATATGCATTTTTTCCAAACAGGTGCTGGTTCTTGCTCATTTAAAGGTAGTAAATGGATATTCGACCCCGTTCGTTGGACGAAATGCCTTAATAACAGTGCTAGTAATCATTCGAAAGTTAAATTTCTACTAGTGCTGCGCGTGTCCGGTTTTCTGAAAACCCTTCTAAAACTCTGTAAAATTTAAAATAAAATTATGTTTCACATCTGCTGCTCAATTCAACTATTAGTTCGCTGGAAGCACGAAAGCATATGAACGTATGGAGAAGTCTTTTAGTATAGAGTCATACGTTTGATTTAGAGTTTCTTTCGAAGCGGAAAGAAAAATTCCTAATCGAATGACAAAAATCGCACTTTGTTGGAGTGCCAATCGATCGATTGTGGCCGGTCGCCGTATCGAATCTGCGGTTACCAGACCACACCGACCGTGTGTTAGCCTGTAAACAGACAAAACTACTGTGTGAAACTCGATCGTTCCTGACTACACTGCAGAAAAGCGCTCTTTCCACAGTATGAACACAATGTTAGAATCCTTAAATCCTACGCCATCGAATAAACGCGGTAGTCTGAAAAAAGACTTCTGTCTTGTAAGGAAAATGCATGTGTGAAACATATGGGTTTCCCTCCTATAACAACGTCAAAAAATTTATTTCAAAAACGTGCCACGTTTCGCGTTCGCCAGAGACTTGAGCTTTCGACAGATTACTAACATTCTTACGGAAATTTTTTGTCCAGCAAGTGGGGTGGAATATTCATTTCTCGCAGCATAATGGGCAAATGCCGAGGTACTCACCATACTAATGAACGCGAGCACTCTTTCTACACTTCCTCCAGCTAAATACTAATAATACTTCTGTATAAGCTTCCAAATCATAAATCATACTGGATAATCTTCAACACTGTACTTTTACTTCAAGATCATGATCGAGATCCACGGAACGCCATCTAAGACAGCATCGCTGCTCAGTGTTATTTCAAGATACGGCTACTGGTTATATTCTCACGAGATCAACGGTGCTTGGCATAGTCTTTCTGAATTTTCCTTTATTCACGAGACTGCATTTACTCGCTATGGTGCAGTACCAATGGCAAGATATTTGAGCTAAACTTGACTGCGTTTTATTATTCATGTGATATTCAGCTAAGCTATACCACTAGCTCTTCATTCTATAAATCATTGTAACGTCACTCATCTTCAAGGACTGATTCGCCATGCAGAAGTTTCCTATTTGATGAATTATGCATTTATAAACGGCTTCTCAACCTAGTAGCTTATTAATATTTCGATCTTCGAATGCTATATACGTCTGATTTCGATCTCGTGAAGATAAATTTCGCAAATAGCTGTTTTCACATCACATTTTCTGCCCTACAGGATTTGTTATAAAGTTTTGCACCGCAGTCCAACTGAACAGAGCGAAATGTACGTAGATTTCCACGGATATGAAATAGTGCATCGCTAAAGGAAAAACATTGCTGAAATTTATACAAGCACACCTTTGAAGGTTGATGATGTTATATTTCCCATTCAGAAGGTTAATAAGCCTCTGTTATTCTATCACCTACCCACGATAGAAGAAATGTTCTTACTTAATGATGTTGCTTGATCTGCAAAACTTTGAAGTCAAGGAGGACTCGTATCCGCATTTCAACCTTTCCGGGAGCACGTGCTTAACAAATTGTGCTGGCGACCCCTGTTCTGCCACAACTCTTTCGACGCTACAACGCATCTATCTGTCAGCAACCAACCGTCAACAGTTTAGCCTGTAGCCGATATCGTTATTGAACCCCGTTACGCTGACAGATATTGGATAAATGTGTGGTCAAACAGAGTTCTTCTTATTTAACCGCTTTTAGTGGTGTTCTGTGCTACAAATATACCCAATGATGTTAAGTGATGTGTAGAACTTTGTCCTCAGGCGGGACTCGAACTCGCATTTCGCCCTTTCTGGGGAGCGTGCTTAACCATTTGCTCTACCGGCGCCTGTTTTGCTAACGTTCCTTCTTCGCAGCGCTAAAAATGTCTCAATAGTATAAATGTGTTACTTCGCTAGTTCTGAAGTCAGTGATGAAGGAGGAAATTTTTCATCACTGCCATTTCAGACAGAGCGTTTCATCGTGACGTTCGAAATTTCAGTATGTACCGATATTCAATTGCTCGTAATCTATTTTCACATTATCGTAAATGTTAGCAACATGAACATTTGTGAAATTTGAACGTCTGGATTATTCCTAAGTGCTAAGTAATTATAGTGTAGTTTAATTTCACGCGATACTTTAGTTGAGTTGACTACATCCAGATCCATGGCCAGTGATGAGATTTGAAAATCGGAATTTAACTTTCTTTTGAAAGCAGTGAGACTCGTGTTTATTGCTGAAACATTTGATTTTGGTCTTTGCTCGATCCCTCTCAAAGGTAACTAGGCTTTCCGTCTACATCTTATCGGGAAATTCATTCTGACCTTGTTTGTGAAAGCTCTCCGCAATCTTTATGGGCTCTTGACTAAATGTAAAGAAGACCAGGGAATGATTTACCACGATTTTCTCGGAATTTCAAGCGAACATCACTCGACCAGTGCCCAATAACACTCTTGAAGAAAATACAATCCGCAACCACTGGTTGATTCCACACGTAATTCCGGTAACGCTCATAGAAGATCGATGGAAAAAACAATTTCAGTGGGATAAGTGCTAGGATTCGCACGAAAAGTTTCGTTGAACTGTGCATCGAAGATCGAAAAGCACAACCGATTTGGTTACTGGAAATATCACGTATACTGCCATTTGGACATGCTATGAGTAATCCGTTTAATCAATTTGAATGAGTATTCAGACCGTCCGCACATCGAAGACAAAGAGCAAGCTCATGTGAAAAGTATATAAATTGACGCATGTGATCTTCTCTAATGAATCAATTTTTACGTTCAGAAATCATTTTTTATTTGACCGCCTGTTGCAGTGTTATGATGCTGCAATATACCCAATAATGTAGAGCGGTGTGCAAGAGCATTTGCGTCAGCTGGGATTCGAACCCACACTTTACCTTGCCCAGAGGCGCATGCTGAAACCGTTGCACTACCAACGTCCGTTTTGACACCACTCTTTCTACACTACAACGCGTCATTTGTCAACAGCCAACCGTCTACGGCTTGACGTGGGTAGTCGCTATCGACATTGAACCCACTTATGTTGACAGAAATTGGGTATTATTGATCAATCAAAAATCATTTTTTATTTGACCGCCTGCTGCGGTGTTATGATGCTGAATATACCCAATAATGTAGAGTGGTGTGCAAAAAGAAAGCGCATAGAGATGTCAAAACGGGCGTAGCTAGTGCAACGGTTCAACGCCCTCGGGTAGGGTGAAATGTGGGTTTGAATCCCAGCAGATGCAAATGTTTTTGCACATCGCAGTACATTATTGGGTTATTTCTACGTTATTTCGGAAGCTTCAAAAACCCCTGATCTTGAGAAATAAACTTTGTCAAGAGCTTGAAAACTTTCCAATATATGGGACTAAGAAATGACGGTAATCTTTGATTCGATATACCCACCAACAATTAAAATATGTGTTAATGAAAGGATAACGCTCTCGACCCTGATCAAACCCTGAGGAATGTGCCATACCTTCGTTTCCATCCAGCATCGCTTGAGGTGACTAGATGCATATCTGGCCACACAGTGGCCTACCGATGTTTCAAGTCAGTGCTCTTCTCCTCCCAGACAGGTGTGGTGCCAATTTATCGGCCCTTTAGGGGTGGAAGGCTTGATGAGCCTTGAGCGAGAGATCGAACCGTCGACCGTAGTTGGTCAACCACCTGTGTGTTGGAGAGCACTTTTAATTAATCACTGCACTACACGCACATGTTAATATGAGCTAAGAATAAATAGCTTTGTAAACAAAGCTAAGCTTCACGGCCCACTTGAAAATCAAATACGAACGGTCAGTTCCCAAAAGAATAGGCGGCCAATGTATCTGACTTTGATTTTGTCTCCAGTGTAGTCACGAAGAGAAAAGTGTTCAATGTATTGCATATTCGACTAGAGCTGATTTTCTCACGTACCGATTGATATTGTAAAAAATTGCCACCTCGAAGCCGAGTAGTCAACTTTTATAACCTCACAAGACTCATTATACGGCAAAAAGTATTGAAGTGACAGCGATATGGCAAAAACATGGCGGTTACATGGTTATGTGTATGACGAGCAATAACAGCGTTTAATGTTGTTGAGTTATGACAGATCAATGAAACTATGGAAACGATAAACTAAAGATATCAGGTTGATGGAAAAGTGACTATGACTTCAAACCGTGAATTTTGAAACAATATAACTAGTCGATTCGGCCTCTAAATCATCCGTGAGCGGTCGGTTATTTCTTCCTACTTTGCTTTTGATTTCGGCCTAAATCATCCCCGAATCAACGCAGGAAGCCCGCTCAAGGCTCCATCGCCGGAATCCATTAATTGGAAGCGACATCTGAAGACCTGAAAACGCTCCTGCAGGGTTACTTCAAGGAACCACGAATTTCATAAGCACGACCAGCAATATACCATTTGGAATCTGTGCCGGGGTCTGCACAACCAGTGAAGACGGACCATCTAAATAAGTATTATTAAATCAAATACATATATCAGTCAACTAAGAACCATTACAGTTGACACATATTTACTAACGAGAAATATGTTTGTAAATTTATGTAGCATAAAAACCGATCTGTTTGGGTTCGACGAATTCTTGGAAAGCATTTTGTGCACCTTGTTGGTAGTGATTGCGTTTTTCTCTGCAAGAAGTTGTTGAGATATTTAGAGATTTGGTAGTCTGTTGGCGTGAGGTCTGTTAAGCACGGAGGATGAGACAAAACTTTGTAGACCGACGCTCGACTTATGAAGTGCTCGTTGTGTTGCGTGTATAGCATTTGATATCCAACGTATAGTCTATTGAGCTCTGAACATGGAGGTGATTACTTGACAAGTAGCTTGCCAACCTTTTCCTGAAGGACAGGAGGAGTTTGTTTGTTTAAGGTGGCTCCTGAGTTGGATTTTTTGGTATTATGCACCTAAATTTTGATGACAAGCTAACTTTCTCGCGATAAAAAACTAGACTGTCATTGGATGGGCTCCCATAAAAGTGTTTTCAGTAGAAAGAATACTCCGGTGCCTTGAAAGCCTACTCGTGCCAAATCGGCTTTTGGAGATAGATATCCATTCCCTGAATCCATCTGCGTCTCTGCGGAGTGCATGGTTGCACTTGAATCACCCCTATCCACCATATGGAATGCGCCACGTACTCAAGCGACTAATCGCGCAGAGATTCCTCAATGAGTGAGATGTGTGGTCTTCTTCATATGTAGAAATTTTATTGAAGATCCTTTTGCTCTGTGCAAAGCGCCCTGCTCGTCTTAAACAGTGGCAAGGATTTTTCTATCTTATGACCAACGTATATTCCCATGGGGAGGGTGGTGATCGAACTAATTATGTAGGATATATTGCGGTATCATGGAGCGAGTGTAGAAAAGCGATTACTGGTGCAGTGTGCAACAATGCATTACTATCTTGTAGTCACATGGGAATGTCATAGCTAACTTTAAGAATGCAAGGAAATTCGACTTGATTGGCACTCTACGATATTCATGAACAAGACAAAATCTATCTACAAGCAGAAGTCAAAATAGCGCAAATTCAAGCATCTTTAAAAGATGAGTGTGAGGAAGCGAACTGGAAGCGAAGAAATACTGAAATGCACACATTACTGATAACAGACTATGTAAAAATCAAAAATTAGAAAATTTTCGATACATCTATAGGACACTTCTACACATTATAACAACTGGAATGGGAGAGATAAATTACATGTTAGGCTTGAATTTTGATTTTTCTTGGTGTGGCTTACATTCAAAACTGGAGGCTATCTAGAACTGACAAAATTCTGTAGTTAGAGAGCTTAAGAGGGTGATAAATAGCTTAATTCAAAGAACTTATTCCAAGTGAAAGATGGTGGCAACTTTCCCATTGTTTATTCGAGGATGCAAAAAAAATATGCAGAAGTTTTAATCGCAACTGCGGATTGAACCCGCATTTCGCCCATGCAGGGGGCGTGCTAGCACTAGACCACCGAAGCCACCTCTCTGCTCGCGCTCTTTTTCCGATGTAAAACATTGCATGCTTCCTATTGTGTGAGTTTATACTAATCTTATTCCTTCAGTGTTCAGAGTTTGAAAAAACCCAGCTCTAATTGCGGTAGAAAAAAATTGCGTCTTATATGGCAAAGGATTTCCTTAAATCTGAACAGATTTATTTCATATGAAAAAGTTCATTGCGACCCAAGATATTCTTACTGAATTGTGTAACTACCTTCAAGCACGCATGAACCGGGAGAATCATCACTCCATAGCTTCAATGGCAGCACTAATGATTTTATAAAATATGACTTTTACTAGTTCACCTGTTAAATAATTTCTGTGAAGTATTCTAGATTATCCAGGTTATAAGTGGACACATGAGAAATTTTCTTTCTTCAAGCGCCGTCGTTGTGTCGTGAACCATGTAAGGTTGCATTCACACTTCAACTTCGGCGTCTGTCTATTTCATCACGAGTGATATGGACAAATCGAAGATTCGGGAGATGGCAGCGGCGCCTTCTGTCTCTCGGAGGCCGAAGATCCTAACATGCAGACCTACAGACTCTATGTGGTAGCAAATCCGTAGTGTCAATAATTGGTAGATTTTATTTCGACTGTTTATCCTATTCAAGAGGTTAAAGAACTGGTTGAAGTTTTTAGATTGCCTCCAACAGGTGCCTGTACCTACAAAATTTTGGTGTTCACTGGTCGTAGTATCTGTGTAACTCTCATTATAATCTTAACCAATTCGAAATGACGTGCGGAGTACTATTCATTATATTTTAGTGGGGTAGAGAGTTTGTTCTTACTGAGAAATGTACATTCATTAGATGACTCGTCGAATGGAAATCGGAAGAGAAGTGATAAGAGCTAAGACGATATTTTTGTGGCATTTGATACTTTACAAAAAGCCACTTTTTTGTTAAACAGTTATCGGTAATCTGACTAATAATTAGCTACTATTTGATTTCAATCGTTGTGATAACATATGATTACTGTATAGAATGCGTGGCTCTAAAATACACCGAGAAAGATTCAACATGAGCTATAATAGTATTCCAAATGCTGTCAGCAATGTATTTGTACTGCGATCTATAACAACGCATATTAAATAATGTCATAAAAGCCATTAATACTCATAGAACGACACAGCGCAATTTCTTCTACAATTAACTCTAGCTCACAGTCTCTCGCTTCATTTGGCTACTAAGAAACTACTGGTTATTCGTATAAAACCACCGGTACTTTTATGTTATAGGAAAGGACATTTGAAGAGGCGTCCCTCTCCGGACAACAGTTTTCCTTTAAACCTTTTATATGTATTCGAAAGCTACAGTCATAAATTTCAAAAATATACTTGTTTTTGAAATGTCGTTCCTATTGCGCTACAACACTAAAAATAAATCAGAGTTTCACACGAGTTGGGTGTAATCTCGAAAATTTTTCGCGGGATAGAGCTCTTCCGCTAAAATCTTATCAGACGTTCGATGGCATGGCCTTTGAAAATTTGGGAGCCTTTTTGTTTTTGAATACGGTTTTGAAAACGCTGTTGCAGAGAAAATTAGATGGTGTTCACACGCTGCGCGTTAACGCGCGTATCTTGGTATTCATCCGAGAATTCTTCCTCCATTCAATGCAATTTCTGAATTTCTACCGCAGTTGCAGGAAAAACTCTATTCTATCGCTTTGCTTGCTTGGGCTTTTTATTTTTGCCTTATTTTGTCAAATAGACCCGCTAATATGCCTAGGCTTGAAGAGCCTAAGCCTGTACACGAAGAACATGTAAATTGAAGAGAAAATCCTAGAGCATTCGAGCCATATACTCTAGCTAGAATTTTTCCAAAGAGGGACAAAAACCTCACTCAAATAATAAATTTCTCGCCACACATTTGAATCATTCCGCGCCATCAATAATATCTACTCATGCACTCTAGCAGACAACCACTGTGCAGCATATGTAAAAC